ATGAGTCAGTGAGCTTCTAAATTAAAGACAGACAAGCCAAACAAACACAAAACTCCCCACTTAGTACCACATGGTGCACCTGAAGGTCTATTCCATATTCCTGTCTGGGCTGACCTTGTGGGAAGTCCTAGAAAATCATCACATAGGTAAGTGGGCTCTCAGTGACTTTAATTCCTTTTCACCCCAACACTGATTCCCTTTGGGTCTTGCAGTGAAGTGTAGTTTCCTGATTTTTCCAAGTCCTTTCCCTACCAGGGCTCTTCTGAAGTAGAGCCATAGTGTAGTCAGTGCTTTTACCCAGGCTGATTTTGCATTCTTCATGCTTTTTGAACATGTCTGGGCCTCAGTTGTCTATAAAATGGGAATGATGATGAAATCTCATAAGGTTGTGCTAATGTGGAATCTATATAAAATTCTTGAATACTGCCAGGTGCTGGTGGCTCATGCCTGTAATCCTTGCTATTCAGGAGGCTGAGATCTGAAGATGGACATTCAAAGGAAGCCTGGGCAGAAAAGCCTCCATAAGATTCTTTTGTTATTGTTGTTGGTGGTTGTAGAGCTTGAATTCTGGGCTTGGATGCTGTCCTTGAGTTCTTCAGCTCAAGGCAAGCACTCTACCACTTGAGCCACAGGGTTATTTCCAGTTTTTTGGTGGTTAATTGGAGATAAGAGTCTCACAAACTTTCCTGCCCGGGCTGGCTTTGAACTGTGATCCTCAGATCCCAGCCTCCTAAGTAGCTAAGATTTCAGGCGTGAGCCACCGGCCTCCACCTTCCCATGAGAGTCTTACCTCCAGTTAATGACAGATATTATTAATTATTGTTTCTCTTTCCTTCAAGCCCTTGCTCTGAAAAATCCCTTGTAGAGGCAAGAAGGTCACATGGTGGGCAGGGGGTAGGGTTGGGTTATGTGATAGAGTTACAGCTGTGTGAGCTGGGATGCACAGCTTCCTGCGTTTAAGCCTCAACTGGAACTTGAGCTAGGAATAGAGTTGTTAAGATAAGTGAGTAGCACTTAAGCATTGTACCTGGCTTGGAGTAAGTATATACTCAGACATTTAACTACTATAATTCTACCTTATTTTACTTTATCCATACCAAAAACCCCCAGCATGCAAATGACAAGACTCTGGCACAAAGAGGTTCATGGCTGTAGATTCACTGATTAGCAGAACCAGAACTCAAACCCTGGTAGTCTGACCTCCTGAGTCCATAGCATTTCCATCATCCGGTGTTGAAAACAGCACTTCCGCTTACGGACAAAGAATTAACTGGCATTGCAGGGACAATGGAAACTCGTGTGTGTGTGTGTGTGTGTGTGTGTGTGTGTGTGTGTGTGTGTGCATGTGTGTGTGTATGCATCAATCCACACATATGGGTTTGCAATTAGAACCTTGTGTGCTTACTAGGAAGGTCCTCTATCACTTCATCCATATTCCCAGCCCTTTACTGCCTTTTCAGTAACTTTTCAGATAGAGTCTCAAGACTTTTGTCTGGGTCAGGCCTTGGAGAACTATCTTTTCATCCATGCTTCTCACTTAGCTGGGAGCACAGATATGCACCACCATACCTAGCTTGTTGGTAGAGATGGGATCTCACTAACTTTTTGCCCGGGATCTCAATCTCCTAAGTATCTGGAATTACAGGCTTCCAGGTACGAGCCACCGTGCCTAGCATTATTTCCCTTTCAACTTATTTTCCTTCAGTTTTCTGTTTATTCTACAGAACCTACTTTCCTAGGAGTTTTCCCCATTGTATTCATAGGATGAATATTTCTGAATTGTCCTTCTATTTGTCAAGCATCATGCCAGAAACTGAGGAAATTACTGTGATGTAGAGGCTGTCCATGTCCCCTGGTCTGATCTACTGGTGACAAAAGACCCAAATAGCCACAGCAATGTGAGCTCTTTTGTTGCAGCAGGGGCAGAGCTAGTGAAAGATCTCAGGATGATATCAAAATCCCAAGTGAATTCTTTATTTTCATTGTTGTATTATTCCTCTCTACATGGCTACGTAATGGATTTCTAATACAGCCCTTTAAAAATCTTTAGTGATGAGGACGCTTTCTAATGTGTTCTCTTTTCTTGGTGGCACTGAGGTTTGAACTGAGGCCTTGTGCTTGCTAGGCAGGTACTCTATTCCAATTCATGCCTCCAGCCCTTTTTTTCCTCAGGTTATTTTTGACAAGGGTCTTGTCTTTTGTCTCAGCTGTCCTAGACCATGATCATCCTATTTATGTTTCCCACCATAGCTGAGATGACAGGCACGAACCACCATGCTCAGCTTTTCCTATTGATAGGGTCTCATGTACTTTTTGTCTGTGTTGGCCTCTCTTCCCTATCTCAGCCTCCTGAGTGGCTAGGATTACAAGTATGAGCCACTGTGCCTGGCTCTATAATAGATTTCTATCTAGATTCTAAAGAAGATATGAAAAACCTAAAGTAAATAACATTAACATGATGATTACTGTTTGATTAAGGTTAACATTTGTGTAACTACATATGACTACAGTGCTTTGAATCTGAAGGAATGACTTGCTTGTAATAGATTCTCTAATCTTTAGACTATTCATTTTCTAGATGTGGAAAGAGAGACCCAGAGGAGTAAGTGGATGTGCCAGCCAGTCCAAAGTGGACCAGCACCAACCAAGTCCCCCTAGGAGTCCAGGTCTATGTGTCTCTACTTGCTGTGGCTACAACCACCATCTTTCCAAAACATGCATCCAACAGAAAATTAAAATGAGGCTGTTCAGAGATGACCCAAATGCCATATAGAAGAGACTTTGTCAGTAGGTGGATGAGAGTGACTTGCTACTTGGCAACCATTTCCCAGGAGGAAGGCTTTCTTCACCACATCCTTCCACTCCCCCTCGTGTCTGTGCAAGTCTCTGCTTGCTATTAACCTGGGTTTTCAGGTCTCTGCACTCTCCACCACCCTCATTTCTGTAAATGAATAACCACTTTAGGTTGTTTCCTGTCTTTTGAGGCTCCATGGCATACCAGATGACTGGGCAGACATGAGTTAGTTTGATTTCCTTTTTTCTATGAGGCAATCATATTGTATGATCACAAATATTTTCATTTTGCTCCCCAAATGACATGGTATTTAAGGTTATTCTGATTGATGAGATGTTATTGGCGCCTATGAAATTAATTATAAAACCTGGCTGCCAAGAGTAATCATGTTTTTGAAGAGAAAAAGAAAACCATCTCCACTGATGCAGTCTTTCATATGTTTTTACCCCTGGAGTATATCTTACTGCTTTAAAGAATTCTATCAGTTCTCAATTCCTTCTGCAAAGATTTCGGGTGGGCTGGACATCAATAGTAATGAGACATTTACTTTTATGTCTTCAGAGTGGGGAGATAATTCAAACCCCTGGCTCAAAATTGACAACTGGAGTGATACTGTGTCATTGTTTCATAGTTAATATTTACACTCCAAATATGAAGGATATCCTCAGGCTCTCAGACAAGAATGATGAAAATGTCATTTGTGAGGCTCAATAATAGGATTTTTTTCCTTCCTGCAAAATCAATTAGCTTTAACTCCCTATGATCAGTGGAGACACACAGGAAGAACTGATCCTGCAGTAAGAATTATTGTTTTACTGTTTGGAGGAAATCAGATTCACATCCTTCTAAATTCTGTCTCTCTCCAATGTCCCTTCATTCATACCAGCATCTTTCACAACCAAGTACAAGTGCTCCTGGCAGAGACTAGGGGTAATTGAGTCCTCCAGATTCCGGCCTCGGCTGATCTTGCTAGATGGGCTCAAAGGCCTGGCTTACCCATGAGAGCAAGACCAGTGAGTCAGCTATACTCATTGAGTCCCAAACTATGATTGGCACTGTGGTACTCAATTACATTGGCTCAGAAAGGGCACACAACAATTTAAATCCATGTTACAAATGAAATTTAACACAAGCCTCTGGCTATATGTAATATTTCTTGATTTAGAAATGGAACATCACTATGGAGATTCAGTAATACACACACACATACACACACACACACACACACATGCAACACCACAGTAAGCTATTTTGTGTGTATATGACAGGATCCTCCCTCTTGAGAGGGAATGAAGGAAGAAGAAAGGTTTACTGCATGGTTATTGTGTCTGATACTTTTATATGATATATCTCTTTGGATCCACAGTTTGCAAGCCATAGGAGGTGGGGCTTACTTGATAGGGTGAAGAGACCTGGGGCTTGCAATTTGAACCAGGCCTATCTGGTTGCACATACCATGCTCTTTCCGGTGGTAGATGCATGCACAGGGCAACAGGGAGCAATGTGAAATACAAAATTAAATACGATTAAGTCCTAAGAATTAAGGTATAACCTTAATTGCTTTAGGTGTTCAGTAGCAAGAAATGAACATTTCCTCTAATTATTAGAGGAGAAGGTAGAAGCAGCAGAATTTCAATGCTCCTGGCAGGCTGCTAAGATCAAAACAAATGTTCTTTTCAATGAAGTGGTAGCATGTATCTGGTGATTGACAGATACATTTTTACAGAAGCCAAATGCATTCTAGTTATTCTGGCACTGACCCCTCCCCCACAACTGTCTTCCACCCCCTTCCTCTCCTCTCCTGCTTAGAATTCTCTTTCCACTCCCATGTACACTCCACACTGTCTCTGTAGTATGCATCTGGTAATCTATGCTTCCTGTGAAGCAGACTCCTGTTTCCTTGCTCCCCAGTAGAAGTTCCACAACACTGTATCTTCACTACAAGAGTCTCTGGCACCTACAGTGAACCAAGTAAAAACTCCTCTCGATGAATGGGAAAAATGACAAGGATTGATTAGTCAAGCTAAATGTCTAGTCACTAATGCCCAGTGTGCTTTCTGACTGCTTGGCGATCCTGCTGTTTCCTTAGCTCAGTCTGCAGGACTCCGCAATTCAGTCCTCTACTCTCCAAACCCTAGACTCTCATCAGATAGCCTTGCCCCTACAGGAACACATCAGCTTCCCGTTATTAGAAGTATAAACCCACTCTCCCATCACGCCGGTGCCCCTTCTGTTGTCCTCCACGTGTGTCTCTATCCGGGGCTCCTCGCAGCCTTCCCATTGCATTAGACCCCAGGGCCACCACACGGGCTGGAACTACTGGTCCTTCCGACACATTCTTCTCACCAGTGAAGGGATCCATATTCTTAGGACTTTTTAAACACATTTAAGTGCCTTCATTTACACACAAACAAACCAGCAGTGGACAGACAAGCAGTATTCCTCCAATAGCTCTTCGTAGGCTCAACCGTTTCTTCCATGTCCACGGTTCTGTAGACAATGGCTATTCTCCAGGCTCCTTCTTCATCCTGTCAGAACCATTGGTTGCGCCCTGCTCTACTGTTTCCCTTGGCTTTTGGAACATTGCAGTCTACTGATTTCCTTTTATTTCTCTACCGCTTCTTCTCCATCTTCTTTTTCTTTGCTGCTTTCTCTGATTAGCCTTTAAATTTCCTCAGTGCTCTGCTGTAGATCTTTCTCTTCTCAGTTATGTTCTCTTACTCTCTTCTCCCCTCACAGCTTCTACTCCTATCTATATTCAAAAGGCTCACAGATTTATATTTCCAGCCCAGAACTTTCCCTTGAACACCAGACCCACATATTTAATTGCTCACTTGAATTCTCACCTTGGATGTTTAAGGCACCATGAACACAGCATGTCTAAAATTACGCTCATGCTCTTTCCTTCCAAGCTGTCATTTTCTTAGTGTCCTTTCTCAGTGATTGCTACCACTGTCCCCTTGGCTGTATGTGTTAAAAACCTAGGAGTCTTCTTCAACAACTCACTCCTCTTGACTCCTAATCACCATTCTAAGACCTGTTGATTTTGCCTCTAAAAACATTTCTTTTCTTTCATTTCCTCCACTTCAGGGCAATGTACCATTTATCATATCTTGTCTAGACCACTGTAATTCCTAGATCCACTGTTAACTTACAACATGCTGTCCACATTACAACCAGAATACTCGGTGTGTGTGTGTGTGTGTGTGTGTGTGTGTGTGTGTACTGAGACAAGGTCAGGCTACATTGCCCAGGGTAATCTTAAACTCCTGGACTCAAGTTATCCTCCTAAATCTGCCTCCTGAGTAGCTGTGTCTAGAGGCATGTATCACGATGTACAGCTGAATTTTTTTAAAACAAATATGTCAACACATAATTATTGGTACCTTCCTCAACCAAAAACAAAACAAAGAAAAGCAAAACAAACCCAAATTCAAAAACAGAATGAGTCCCAGAACACTTCAAGGCTTCCCATAGCTCTCAGAATAGTCTAAACACCTATTCTACAAATCTCCTCTGTCCAGCTCACCTGGCACCTTTTCCTCCCCTATATTATAGCCTCACGGGATACAAGGCCATTTCCTGCTTCTACATGCTTCTTCTTTTGTTCCTCTCCTATTTCCCATTTTGTTATGTGTACCTGGCTGCTCTTACTCCACCTTTCCGATCTCAGTTCTAGCATCTTCTGCTATAGGAAAGCCTTTCCCATGTCAGCATTCAAAGTAGCATCCACTCCTTCTTCAGCTTAATTCTAATACTTGTGATACTGTGGCCTCTGTGATCACAGCACCACTATCTTCTTTTGCTTTTCCTTGTACTGTCAGCACCTCATCTAGAGCCTGGCACATTCAGATTCCAACATACTAGTTGAATAAATAAAGTTGAAAGCATGGTATAGATGAAGCCTTTGGTGAGAGAAGAAGGCAAGGTCTAGAGTGGAACTTGGTGAACATAAGATTTTAAAGGGAGGGAAAAGGAAGAAAAAAACACATTGGGGGGGAAAGACAGAGAAATAATGACCATAGAAGTAGCACAAGCTAAGGGGGTCTGGATTTTTATGAAAGCAGAAATGTCATCATTGTTTTGGGCACCAGATACGATGAAACTGGTTTAGGGCAGAATTGGGAGGTATGGGGTTGACTTCTCATAGAAGTTGGTGTGAAAGAAGGAAGAAAAATATGGTATCCCCTCAGACTTTTTATGATACTTAGTACTGTTGAAAGAAATTTTTTGAAGTAGACGTTGGTAGAAGGAGGAATATACTTTTATGAAGAGGGACATAAGGAAGGGGAAACACCACCAGTTGATAGAGTAGGGTTTAGGATAGAGAGAAGGCTGGGATTAAAAGCTTAGGAATACAGTCTCTTTTATATATATATATATTTTTTTTTTCAAACACACACATATGTGAAATTGTTCCTCTTTATTGCCAATAAAAACCAAAGGCAGAGATCAATGATGGTAATTTGAGTGTAGATGATAAAAATCAAAATTAAAACAAAAATGTTATTTTCGTTGTCAACAATTGAGGGCCAGAAGCAAAAGGAGATGATTTCACATGATATGTAAATCTACATTCTGCTTTCAATTCTGATAGTGGAAACAGGCACACTTTCATATAGCAGATGTCTTCAGCCTTTAGGTTTATTTTTCATAAAATAGATATTTTTTAATGTTCTGTAAACCAGCAAGCCAGAGAAGAGATTTTATCTGTTTCTGTTTTCCAACTTATCTCCAGAGTTTAAGACAGCGCCTGACAGGTGCAGATCTACATTGTTCGCGTAAATGAATAGTTTCTTCAGGAATAATTCTCCCATTCCTCAGAGCAGTAGGGTTCTCTGGCGTGAAGTCCACCTTGTTGGGGTCATGACATCTATACTTGTTCTTTCCCAGCACCCAGGGAAGGGCCAGACATGAGTATATTCTCAATACACACTTATGAAAAGACTGTCCGAGAGCTTCCAGGTAGAGAGCTGCTACTGTACCTGTACTTGTCTCATCAGTGTGTGTGTGTGTGTGTGTGTGTGTGTGTGTGTGTGTGTCCCATCTGCTGTTATTGATGGGTTACTATTTATTCTCTAGAATAACTGAAGGTACAGAAATTCAGGTTTGGGGAACTTAATCTCTCATTTTCTGTGTTGAGCAGGTGTCTTGTGTGTGCAAAGAAGAGCACAGAGAAGAGGAACAGCAGGTCTTTTCCTTAGGATGATCCTTGTCAACTTTGTGCTATCTTCAAAGAGTCAATGTATGCGCCTAGCAGCTCAGACAAAAATTCTAATGAACTTAAGCTTATCAATTGTTTCATGATTGTGGCTTTGATGTTATTTCTAAAGAGCTGTTGCCATACCCAAAGTTATCTAGATTCTTTTCCTCTGTTATCTTATAGGAAGAAAATAATTTTGTATTCTACATTTAGATGTATTATCCATTTTTGTGAACAAAATCACACAAAATTGATTTTTTTGTGCACAAGATCAATTCCACAAACGAATCTGTGTCTAGTGCATTTGCTTGCATTTAGATATCCATTTGTTTCATCGTCATTTTTTAAAAAGACCATCTTTGTTCTGTTGTATTGTTGTGCTGCTTTCTCAGAGATCAGTTAAGAACAATTGACTATATCCATGAGACTATCCATGAGACTCTATTTCTGTGTTTTCAATTATGTTCTCTTGATCTATCTGTTCTTTACCAAGACCATACTATCTTGATTACTGCGGCTTTTGTAATAAGTCTTAATGTAAGTTAGCGTCAGTCCTTTTAACTTTGTTCTCCTTTGATACTGAATGTTACTATTTTCAATGATTGACTCTTCATATAAACATTAGAAACAACAGAAAAATGGATGGAATATCTTAAAATAATTATTAGATGACACATTTTAAAGTAACATGTGTCAAATAAGAAATATCAAAAGTAATTTTAAGGTATTTTGAATGAAAAGGAAAGGAATAAGTAGAATTTATCAGAATTTGTGGAATGTAGCAAAAACAGTGTTTAGAGTGACAATCTATGGGGATTATTGATGTAATTGGATTAATATCTACCCTTAATCTTTTACTCTTCTCTATTTGTTGCACTTGTTCTTTGTTCTTATTTTTGTTTTCCATATGTTTTACCTTTAATAACATTTTCTGTTTTTATTTTTTTATTTTTATTTTATTTATTTTATTTTATTTTTTTTTGGTCCAGTCGTGGGACCTGAACTCTGGGCCTGGGCACTGTCCCTCAGCTCTTCAGCTCAAGGCTAGCGCTCTACCACTTGAGCCACAGCGCCACTTCCAGCTTTTTTCTTTTTG